ATATTAATTTAATTTTAATATTATTATTATTTATTATTATTATTATTAATTAATATATAATAATATTATTTTTATAATATTTAATATATATATATATATATATATATATATATATATTTTATTGTAATTTTAAATATTACTCATAATAATATTAATATACTAATATAGTGTATCTATATAATAGTATATAATAAATAGTGTGTCTTGATATATTAATTATAAACAAATATTACAAAGCTTCTTTTATCATTAAATTAAAAATGTAATCTTTACAAGTAGATTTATGTGAACGCTGATTACTGTATAATTACAAACAGAATACTATACTATATAACTCTTTGAAAATAATGACATTCGAATTGTGATTAGATCATTCTAATAGAAAATTTATGTCCATATTGATTCATTAAAAAATCTGTACAATTATTTGTCTTACCTGATCGGATCTTTCAATTCTTCGATGATAAAGTTTAAATAATTCCAACCATTGTATGCAAATAATCCTGAATAAAAGCTCAGTGCAATTGATGTTATCTCCGTTTTAGTATTATCGAATGTAAAGTGTTCCGTGTGTCCTGTAAATTTTAATTTTTATTTATTATTTATTATTTCTATTTAATTTAATTAAACGAATTTCTTTTTTTTTCTTTTTTCTTTTTTTTTTCGTTCTGTCAATGTTTCTAACAAATTATCGAATCTTTTTGATGTTGACAAATATTAAGATAATATACATAGATATGTATGAATGTATTTATGTATGTACTTATGTATGTATGTATGTATGTATGTATGAAATATTCACGAAAAAGATAAAGATATTTGTCAATGTAAATTCTTCGCAAGCAAACGAATTCGTTTCCGTTTCATTTGAGCCGAGCAATTCGCTTCATTGAATAGTCCAATTTAAGTGATACTCCTCCTTTTACGCGCATAAACGATAGAATCGGTTCTACGCTAGTATTTAACCCACCTTTTTGATTGGACAAATTGTCTCGTCCGGCAAGTGGACAATACTGAAAAGACGTTCAAATAAGACCCCTTTTTCTTTTTTTTTTTTTCTCTTTTTTTTTTTTTACTATTTCAAGGCTCTCATTTTCTTATCCTCGTCTTAATAAAATACAACCCTATCCTCTCACATTGTGTTGAATCGTTAAACGAATGATAAGAAAAAAAAAGAGAAAAAGGTAATTTATCAAAGTGCATTGTCCCGTAACGAATTTATTCGATGACGTTGGTTGAAGAAATACGATTGAACAATCTAGCAAAATAAATTCTTTTTTATCTTCATTACTACTTGGATTTCAATAAAATCCTATATAAACCAGGTAACAACAAAAAAATAGAGAAATATTGAACACGTGAGACGTTTATCTGTGCTACGATTTCAAATAACAGAGTAAATCGATTGAAAAATCAATGTATCTACAATCGTTAACCTGTTGAAATTGTGAAAGGAATTTAAATAAAAAAAAAAATAAAAAAAAGGGAAAAAAAAATAGGACGTTGTTTTATTCTTTCCATTAAAGCAACGTATCAGATTTCTCCTATTTTATAGCAATGTGGTAAAAAAAGATGGAAAGTATAATGGGAACACACGGTGGTTTGTTTGCCAGATACGTGAAAAAAAAAAAAAAATATTACGTATTATGTTACACAATAGTAATAATGTTGCTAAGTTGGTATTTTTCTTATCGTTTATTTTTTCTAATCTCTTTCTTTGTGAATGCAATATTATCTCCAAAGTGAAATTGTAAGATTAATTCTTACCGGTGAACAGTTGATAGGCTCCTGTACAGATTATGATAAAAAGTGCGAGAAGTTTAGCATATGTAAAGATGTCTTGAACTTTTGTTGCCCAATTAACGTCCCAGCAATTAATAAACGCCAATATACCTAAATAAACAAAAACAACATGTTCATTTACTGATAATATAAAATATAATTACTGTATATTACAGTATATATTAATACACTAATAATATACTATATTACAATTACAGTATATTATAGTATATGTTAATACACTAATTAGTATACTATTAAGGAACAAAATATTAATATACTGATAATATACTATATTATAATTACAGTATATTACAGTATATAATAATACACTAATTAGTATACTATAAAGGAACAAAATATTAATATACTAATAAT